TATGTCACGGCTTAGGGTTCATAAACAGGACTGAGACAACTGCATAGCGCATTGAGAAGGAGGCTGTGCTCTATCTATGAATGAGTCAAGTTCTCATTAAACCCAAATCATGACCAAAATAACCAAAAATTTAAAACCTAAAAAACCATCCCCACCACCTAAATATTTTAATATATCTTTTACAAATATTCGCGGTGTACGAAGCAACTTTCTATCAGTTGAGTCTAACCTCCTGCAAAATTTACCAGACTTGCTTGCACTCAGTGAAACAAATTTAAATTCTGCAATTCCTTCTTCAGATGTCAGTGTTGATGGGTACTATTCTTTGATTCGTAAAGACTCCAATAGTCACATGCTAGGTTTAGAGGTATACATACGCATTAATTCTTCTATTTGTCGTGAAATCAGGTTCGAATTCTTTGACCATTCTTTTATGTGCTATCGCCTAGCACCTATTCACTCTATCACCTTTCTCTGTGTTCTTTATCGTTCTCCTTTTTCCCATGATTGCACTCTCTTAGATGTTATCTCTGATCAAATTGACCATACCATCTCTCTTTACCCCTCTGCCAATATTGTTGTTGTTGGTGATTTTAATGCCCATCACACTGAATGGCTTGGCTCTAACACCACTGATCCTGCTGGCACTAAAGCCTTTAACTTCTGCGTTTCTCAATCTCTTAATCCGATAGTTAACTTTGTGACTCGTTTTCCTAACAACCCTAATCATTTACCTTCACTCCTTGACTTATGTCTTGTCTCTGATTCTAGCTTATGTTCAGTTTCTTTCTTTTCTCCCTAAGGTGGTTCTGACCATGCAATGATCTCTACAATTCTTTCTTCTCGTACTTCTTTTTTGGGCTCACTTTATCATCGCACCACCTACTACTACCCTAAAGCTGAATGGGATTCCTTTCGTGATTTTCTTCGTGATGGTCCTTGGGCTGATGTTTTTTCTCTCTCAGCTGACAATTGCGCCTCCTACATAACCTCCTGGATTCAGGCTGGAATGGAAGCTTTTATTCCTTCGCGTCGGTTTCAAGTCAAGCCTCATTCTACTTCATGGTTTTCTCCTTCTTGTGCAACTGCTATATCCAATCGTAATCATTTTTTTCATCTTTTTCAAAAGAACAACTCTCTTGAGAACAAACGGCTGATTATTATTGCAAGAAATCGATGTAAAAAGGTGCTTTCTGATGCTAAACTCCATTATTCTCAGTTCACTAAATCTCGAATCTTATCACAGAAGTTAGGCTCTAAAGACTTTTGGAAAATCTTCAACAACATTGTCAACAAGGGTAGATCTAACATTCCATCTCTCATTCATGGGACTGATCTTATTACCTCTCCCAAGGATAAGGCAGAACTATTTGCAAAGAACTTTTCTTCTAATTCCACTATTGAATCTTATGGACATTCTTTTCCTTCCATTCCAGTCAAACAGGTTGTTAGATATTCAAATCACACCGGCTTCTGTTGCTAAAGTCATATCTCAATTAAACTCGTCTACAGCTTGTGGTCCAGACAACATTCCTGTCACAGTCTGGCAGAATTGTTCTCCAGAACTTTCTTCAATTCTCTCTAAACTATTTAACAAGTGTTTGACTGAGTCTTGTTTTCCTGCTTGTTGGAAAATGGCATCTGTGGTTCCAATATTCAAAAACTCTGGAGAAAATTCTGACCCTTCCAATTATCGTCCGATCAGTCTTCTTTCTGTTATTAGCAAGGTCTTTGAGTCTTTGATCAACAAATTCCTCACATCTCATCTTGAGTCAAATAAACAACTGTCAGACAATCAATACGGTTTTCGATCCTCTCGCTCTACGGCAGACTTGCTAACTGCTGTACTGAAAGATTTTATCGTGCATTAGATGGAGGCGGTGATGCTAGGGCTAATGCTCTCGACATAACTAAAGCTTTCGACAAAGTTTGGCATGCTGGTCTTCTCCATAAGTATGCTTCATATGGTATTTCTGGGAAAGTTTTTGAGATTATCAAATCATTTCTTTCTAACCGGTTTATTAAAGTCATCCTTGAAGGCCAACACTCTTCTTTATTTCCAGTAACCTCTGGGGTTCCCCAAGGTTCCATCCTGGGCCCTGTTTTGTTTCTTATCTACATAAACGATCTTCCTGACAACCTTTCATCTAAAGTAGCTCTTTTTGCTGATGACTAAACTTTATACTCCTGTCTTGACAAAAAGTCTTCTCTTTTCGATCGCGTAGAACAAGCAGCTGATCTTGAATCCGATCTCACTTCAGTAATAGATTGAGGTTCACAGTGGCTTGTGAATTTCAACTCTAAAAAAACCCAATTGCTTACTGCAAACAACTACCGTAGTATGGTCAACATTCCTATATTAATGAATGGCAATCCTCTTACTGAGTCGTCCTCTTTACGTCTTCTTGGATTATCGATTACTACTGACCTTTCATGGAAACCATATATACAATCGATTGCTAAATTAGCTTCTGCTAAGGTTGCTTCTCTTTATCGTGCTCGCCATTTCCTTACTTCTGATTCCATTCTCTACCTCTACAAATCTCTTATTCGTCCCTGTATGGAATACTGTTGTCATATTTGGGCTGGTTCTTCTAACGATTCACTTTTTCTTCCTGACAAGGTCCAAAAACGATTTGTTAATGTTGTTGGTCCTGGACTATCTGCTAAGCTTGAACCTCTTTCCCATTGTCGTAAAGTTGCATCTCTTTCTCTTTTCTACAAATACTATCATGGTCACTGCTTAAAGGACTTATCATCTAGTTCCATCAACTAAAACTCATTCTCGTTTTACTCGTCATTCAGCTAAGTCTCATTCGTTTACTGTATCTGTCCCTGCATGCTCTAAAAACCTTTATTCATCTAGTTTTTTTCCCCGCACTTCAATCCTTTGGAACTCTCTCCCATCTTTATGTGTTCCTGACTCATACAACCTTCAACTTTTCAAATCTTCTGTCAACCGTTTCCTTGCTCTAAAACTCTGTTCTTTTTTTTTCCTAGTAACTCCCAACTTTATAGTGTTTGCTTGCAGCCTTGTTGGGAGTGATTGCAAATAAAAATTATATATATATATAAACATATAATATCATATAAACATCAAATTTCCAGAGAAATAAATTTTTTCATGCATTGTAAAGTAAGAATTAAATTAGTCATATACTTGAAATTTCAAAATCGATTTTAAGTCTAAGTTATAGCTTGTCGCAGATGGTTTTATTTAATAGTATTAAACAACCATTATACTTCCTAAATATCATTAATTCCAATTTCAAGAGAGCGGCATTTCGTTGGAATCGAATAATTAAATATTCGATTTTTATGCATTTATAGTGAAATGATTTTCTTTTTTTTTTCCCTTTTTAAAAACATTAAAATATTAAAATAAATTTTATTTTAAATAATAACGGTTCGATGTGTTTAATAAAGTTAAAAAAAAAAACTATTTTTCTTGAACAAGTATCTTAACTTTAAATCGGTCTTATTATAAAGGCAAAAAAAGTCGTCGATTTTGAACTAAAAAATATATAATAAAGAATACATGGTCGCAGCTTTTTTTTTTTTAAACAATAACTGCCGTTATGTAAATGCAAAAATTAGAAAGTCAAACGATCTTCGAGTGACATTTAGCAAAAGGAAGACGAGGAAATTTAGAAAAACATCTTTAAAATACCAACATTTCTAAGACATAATATGAATAAATTAAATACAAATATATAACTAAAACATTATACTTTTTATAAGCGCTAAGTTAATATGTTTATTTAAATAAAAATAGTCCAAAGCTTTTTTAATTGAAAAAAGTTATATAAATTTTGAGGATAAGTATTTTTGAAAAAAAATGCACAAATTTGACAATTATAAAGCCATTATGAATGGTTCTAGCAAGCTTGCCTTCATCTCTAGTAATTAAACGGATACATTTTGGAATGGAGTAAAGCACCTTTGTTTCAATAATAAAATAAAATAAAAGTTTAGAAGATTTGACTTTTTCGGGACTTTTGGCCACGGAAAAAAAATCTGGCCCACTGTGCAACAACATATTTTTTTATGCTTAAAGTTGTATTAAGTAATAATCGTACGTTCTAAAAAAATATGGTTTTTGTACTTCTAGGATCTTCCTAAATGATAAAGTTACTAAATAATTTAAGAGTAGCTGAAAATTATTTATCCAGTTTTAATAGCTGAACTTTATAAAGTTTTTGCTGTTGTTTAATAAAGCTGTTAAAAATATCCATTAGTAATAATCTCTAGACTGGGTGAATAAAAATGAGCAATTGCTTTTAATCAGTAACTAGTCAGCTTTACATGAAGAAAAACGTTAGCAGTTTTTCTCTAATTTTTATTCACGTAAAGTTAAACAATTTATTCAGTAACTGTTCAGTTTTACGTGAATAAAAACTTAAGCAAATTAGCTAAAGTTTTTATTTACGTAAAACTGACCAATTACCGAGTATTAGCAATTGCTCATTTTTATTCACCCGGCTTTCTTATTTGAATTTTTTAGAAATTACATTAACTCACTTTAACAAAAACTCTTTTTAAAATTTTTAATTACAAATAAAACTGTTATTTACAATAATTTTGTTTATCAAAAAAAAAAAAAAAAAAAATTTTGGTTAAGATTTTTTTAAAACTCAGCGCAATTTGTGGGCAACCCAGTATGAACAAAAATAGCGCCAAATATCGGTATTTGCTAAGTAATCACAAAAATAACAATCAATGCACGGTTTCTATAATCTCAGTTAAGCTATGCAAAATCTATGAAAGTTTAATGAATACGCTTAAAGCACACACTATGACTATGGAGGCACAGTTGCTTGTTGCGTTGTTCAAAGCCCAAATTATTTAATATTGCTTGGCTATTAAAAGTAATAAGATTTTGTATTTGAATTTATAAAACTTTAATTTTGTTTCATAAAAATAATTTTTTCTTAATATTTCTATACAGTTATTCACAGAACTGTATATTTCTCGGAAATTCATAAAAAACGCATAAATAGATTTAGACATTACGTATAAATTAGTTTAGGCTTTCGAATATGATTATAAACTTGAATTTTAAAAAATTTAATGAAAAATTTTCTTGAAGAATTTTTTGAACGAGTACGCTAATAATCAACAAAACTATTTAGGTATTTTTTACAAATAAATATTTTTTGTGTATTTATATAATGATACAAATTCTAATAACTCATTGCTCTGTTCTTTTAAGAACATTGAGCACTCTGTTTTGTAAAACATATTTGAAATTATTTGCATAAATATAAACCACCAGTTGGGCACGAGCTATCCAAAAAAAGTCCGTCAGACGTCCGATGGACATCTCCTGGTCAATGCATGCCCACTGGGTACCTATAACAATATTAAAAATTTTATGTTAATTACCATTATTAATTTTATTTTAATGACAAGTGCATATATGTATATGTATGAACTGGTTTGTGGGTAAAATTGCATCTTTTTTGTGTTGTGTATGTATTATATCAAACTCAGTTAAACTAATTGTATTTGATATTAAAACTTAGAAAACAAGAGCTATATCTTCACTTTCTAAACACTGAAAGCAGAAATATAGTATTCACTTTTTGTAATAAGTGAAATAGCAATGGATTTATATAAAGCATTTAATAGGAGATTTTTTGTCAATTTTAAGTGCAAACATTTATTACCATTTACAAGTGCTAGAATATTGAAAAGTTACCGCTGAATAACATTGAATTATAAAAAAAAAAATGAATGCTCATAAACTCAAAGTTACAATTTTTTATATTTATTAAAATAAATATAAAAAATATTATTATAAATATTACACAATTATTCGATTATAAAAATAGGCAAAAAATACTTTAGAATAATATATTGCATCCTCTCATACATGCCTTGAAAATATATTTTGTTTTTATTGCTCATAATAACAACACCGGTTGGTTCTACTTTTAAAATTAGGTTATTTAAACTTCGGCAGGTGAAGAGACAGCTTTTTTCTAATTCTAGATATTTCCATAAAATATCTTGCAATTAGTATTAAAGCAACTTTTTGTGGTTTTAATCAATTTATCTACATTTAACTTAATATTTAAAAGTAAGATAGATGTCTAGACGGATGGGTAGAATCTTTGTGTCAAATACTTTGTGCCAAAGTGGTTTTCAAATTAAATTTTTTTTATTTATTTATTTTTACGAAGCAGGCAGTACTTTGAATTTATCCGAACCCCATTCCCTCCCTTTCCTTTCTTTTATTCCTTGTAAATGCCATAAAAAAAAAAATAAAACTATAAAAAGATAAAATAGACCTAAAAAAGAAAAACAAGCATAGAAGTTATTTTATTAAAAATATGATTTACAAATTAAAAAATCCTTTTAAAATTGATAAAGAAACTAATTAATAACAAATTATAGCAAAATGGCTGCAATAAAAAAGTTTGCTTTAAAAACTTATGTTAAAATGTTCGACCATACATAAATTTTAAGGTTGTGAAAATGAACTATTTTTTGATATATTCTTTGAAGAATTCAAAAGAACCTAAAATTCTCATAAAAAATGCAAAGCAGTAGGAGCTGATGAAATTATTTGACACATAACTATAGAGTGTTAAATATTACATTGTTGCTCGCGCAAGGGTACCGTCGCTTTAGTTTTTTTCCTAAAGTCACTGTAGTGATTTCTGATAGGTAACTATAGAGTGTTAAATATTAAAGTTGTTAAAGCTTTTAAAGCTATAGATTATAGATTTTTTCCTGGTTGATTAAAATTTCCCAAACGTTTTTAACTTTTAAAGGTGACAAAACTAATATTAGCTGTTACCCCATCTCTGTCCTATCTATCTTACCAAAATTTATAAAAAAGGTTACGTACAATGAAACTTTGATTATTTCAACAACAGTAGTTTATTAGTGGCGGAATAGCTCAGATGGTTAGAGAAGTTAAAACACGGACTGTTGAATGATACGAGTTGAAATCCCGCCACCGCCAACTCAGTACTTCGGTACGCAAAAATGTTGGTCAATAACGGACGCTACTTTGGATTAGTCTTAATGACTATTTTTGGCTGTTCCAATGCTAAGCCAACAATATCTTCGGATATAAGAACATTGTATAGAAAAATATAGCCTGAAAACTCAGATAAAAAATATAAACTCAAATCAGTTTTTAAAAACTTGATTTTTGTATAATAGATTATTGTTATTAATTTGAAAAAAACAAAAACTTAATTGAACATGCAATTATTCAGCTTGTAGACAAGCCTTTCAATTCTTTTGAAAAGTCTTAAACTACATAAGTCAATTTTATTGATCTATCTAAAGCGTTTTAAACTGTAGATCACAATATCTTGCTCCTTAAACTTAAACATCATGAAATAAAAAGCAGAGTTTGCAATGGTTTTGAAGCTATTTATGAAAACGAAAACAATTCGTCTATAATATTAGTATATATCAATATATCAGTTCGTCATTTATATTGTTATATATATCAAACCGTTTTTTAGAAATATCGTGTGATAATCTCCTAGGTTTATTTCTGGAGCAACTTTTGTTCTTGATTTACGAAAATGTAAAAAGAAAGTCCGTTGGAATTGAATTCTAACTACAGTGTGTCAAATTAAAAACTAGTCAGCCAACCACGAGGAAACATGTTTTAAATGTTATTTAAATACAATGGTTTGCCTGTAATTAATAAACCGACTCGGGTAAATAGAACTGCCGCTGTCATCGATAATATTTTTATTAACAATTACTTAAAAACTTCATTTGAGGCAGGTATATTTAAGATTGGTATAAGTAATCATTTCCCGATGTATATTAACATAAAAAATGTTACAGCTATTTCGGAGGATCAACCTAAAACTTTAAGGCTAAAAAAACGTAACCTTTCAACTAATAATACAAACAATCTATCTCGCAAATTATATAGAGAAAATTGAAGTGACGTTTATCAAAGTCAAAATGCAAATGAAACGTGTAATTTATTTTTAAACAAGTTTCAAGAGATCTGCAATGAAACGTGTCCAAATTAAGTAATAAAAATAAAAACAAAAACACTTCCTAATCCATGGATGGATAAAACTTTTATAAAATGCTCTAAAACCAAACAAAAGTTATGCAAAAAATTTAACAAAATAAAAACACAGTTAATAAAAAAAATTATAAAACATACAAATACTTTTATACCAATCTTCATAAAAAAAAAATAAAAAAATATTTTACAGCAAACAAATTACTAATTGTAAGTTAGATACTAAAAAAACATGGTCAGTAATAAATGATTTAATAGGATAAAAAATAGAAATAAAACTTCTTTGCCACCAAAAATAATCAATATCAAAAATACTGATATATTATGCCCTAAACAAATTTCTGAGGAGTTTAACAAATATTTTACAAATGTAGGGTTTGATCTTGCTGACAAAGTTATACCAAATTCGTCAGCAACCTATAATACTTTTGAAAACTTTTCTAAAACGATCAAACGACAAAACATTGCACGACTTTGACTTAACATTAAAAGAATTTGAAACGGCTTTTTCCTTATTAAAGAAGAATAAATCACCGGGATTTGATGATATACCCAGTATTATAGTTATTGCAAATAAAAAAATAATTAGTAAACCCTTGATTTTAATTAGCAAAACTATCTTTAGATTAAGAGGTATTTGCTGATGTCCTAAAAATAGCAAAAGTATTTCCAATTTATAAAAATGATGATCATTCTAACGTTTTCAACTTCAGGCCTATATCAGTGTTTTCTGTATTTCCTAAAAAAGTCGAACGTGTAATTTACAATTTCTTTTATTCAGAACAATTTGGATTTCAGAAAAATCATTCAACTGAACATGCGATTATTGAATTAGTTGATCAAATAAATAATGGCTTTAATGTAAACAAATTTACTTTGAGTATATTTATCAATTTCTCAAAAGCTTTTGACACTGTTGATCATTGTATATTATTAGGAAAGTTAAAGCATTATGGAATAACTAATACGTTCTTCTATTGGATTAAAAGTTACCTCACGGATAGAAAACAATATGTTCTAAATCAAGAATACGGAATACTTAAAATCCAGTGTGGAGTACCGCGAGGATAAATACTTGGTCCTCTATTATTCTTAGTTTATGTAAATGACTTAAATAATGCATCTGTAAAGTTAAACCCAATTATGTTTGCAGATGATACAAACCTATTTCTTTCTAACATTAGTATCAAACAACTTTATGCAGAAATGAATCTTGAATTAATTTAGATAAATAACAGGTTTATGGCGAATAAACTCTCATTAAACGTTAAAAAAACATAGTATATCTTGTTTCATAGAAAAATGCAAGAAGAAAATCTTCCCCTTAAATTAACAAACCTGTTTTTAAATAACATACAAAAAAAAAAAGTAACACTATATAAAGTTTTCAGGAATACTTGTTGATCATAATTTATCTTGGCTTCCCCATATTAAATATTTACAATCAAGATTTAGTAAAACCATATATAAAAGTTAATATATTTTTCTTTAATTCATTGTTTCAGTAACTATGCCAATATTATAAGGGCTAGTACACAACCATCAAATCGTAAAAAAATACATAGTTTACAAAAAAATGCGTGTAGAATTAATTACGTGAAAAAAAGAGGAGAGCATACTAAACCCTTAATGAGAAATATGAAAATGATAAATCTATACGTAATAAATTTTTATCAGCACCTAATTTTCATGTATAAATATATTAATAACCTAACTCGAGCTAACTTTATTTGTAAGTTTGAGAAAAATTTAAATGAAAACTGTTTTTTAAGAAAAAATCGATCAAATTCCTTTAAACTGCCAAGGAAATTAAATAAATATACAGAATATTCAATAGCGTATCGAGGACCTAAGATATGGAATTCTTTTCAAAAAACTAATGCAAATATGGTAAACTCATTAAACTTTTTTAAGTTTCAAGCAAAAAAAAAAAACATTTTTTAATTTTGCGAAATAATAGTTCCAAAACAATTTTGTAAACTTATTCAAATGAATTTTACTTAGTAGTTACTAATGATATACGTTTCTTTTAATATATTAATTATTAAATCTTTTTGTATATGTTTGTATTATTTTCTTTGAATACCTAATTTTGCAAAATATATTTGTATTTGTTAA